CTCGATAGTCAATAAACTTTTATCAATCCCGTCAGCATAAATAAGGTCAGCATGCTTATTTCCTCCTTGGGGAGGAGTAAACATTTTTTGGCTCGGAGTTCCACATAAAGCAGATTATTGTTAATGTAGGTAAAAGAAGTAATGAAATATAAATGTTTTCGTCAAATAATAACCAAATCGGGACGAGTGAAATCGTAATTAATGGGCTTCTTGTCGGCCTCGGTTAATTCTTCCCTCTTTTGTTCGACCTTTTTTCATTCTTGTAATGCTTCCGTAAACAAATGCCCGTAAGGGAAATTATAAAAATCTTCATAGGTGTGAAGTTTTAAGGCTGTTTTTAAGTCGTCTCGGTAGTCTTCATCCTCAATACCAGGGTTTTTAATTTCCCGACGGAGTTTTTTTATAATTTTGGTTCTTATTCTCCCTTCTTTTTGGTCCAGGGCTATTTTTCAACTAAAAGCATTTTGGGTAACGATTTCTATTTCATTGTTAGCATTTCAGACTATTCGGCAATTATACTCGGGAAATTCGGTATTTTTTATTCACTTGACAACTTCATTATACCTCTTATCGTTAGGAATAAAATTATAGTCTTTGGTCCAATAAGGTTTGCCGTTGGGGTCGGTAAAAGGCACCAGGCTAAATTTGTCCGTCCATAAATGGGGATTAACATTAATATCCCGTCTGGTAATTATGTAGTTAGGATTGAGGCTAGTCATGTTATTTAGTGATGGTTATTTCGGGTTCGGTAGTAAAGCCGTGGTCAGGTCAGTTTAGTTTTAATTCAGGGCTGATGACACTTAATCCTTGCTCATTCTCGGTTCTTACTCGGATGAGACTTATATTTTGTCCGTTCTCGTAAGTTAAGATAAAACGGTTAGGGGTGGTTTCTAAACGGGTAAAATTAGTTAGGTTGGTTAGAGGGTCATTTATTTCCTCACTAGCATAACCCCGAAGATTTTTATAAATGTTCTCAATGTTGGCATTGACCTGCCGATAGCCTCATTCTTCGGTGATTATATATTGGCAAAATTCCTCCGTCAATTGGTCGGCATAATTTTCGGTGTCCTCATCA